CCACCGCTGTTCGGCTGGCGGTGAGGGTTCACCTTCACAGACTTTTGCATTTTACGCTTCCTTTTGTGAACCTCTCCAAGCACTGGTGTCTCTTTCACAGACTCCAATGTCAACTGGTCTTCGTACGGGTCAGGTGGCTCCATGCCAAGAACAAGAGACGTTTCAATGTCCCAAGTCTCATCGCGAACGTCGGGCAATGTCTCTGCCAAAGAATGATAAATCTCAGTGAGGAAGGAGACTACAGACGCACGACTCTGTTTAATGACTGCAGCGTTTGGGCGCTTCAAATAGCGTAAGTCCACAGGAGGCGAAGGGAATCCATTTTGACCATGCTTTTTCAGCCTGTTGAAGCGCCTCGAACCTAGACCCACGAAACGGGCTGGGATGAATGGCTGACAAACGCAATCTATAGTAAGTAGTTTGCACGGACTAGCAACCCTGACGCGAAAACCAAAAATTTCCACAAAGTAGTCTAAGTAGTCCTAGGGGCCGACACCGCGCAAGACTTTCCAAGCCTTCAAGCACACAGCCTCCTCTAAGAAGGACCATTTGCAAGATCCACTGCGCAACTTCTCCAAGATGGTCGTGTACACCTGGCATAGAAAGCCGGCCGAAGACAATAAGGTGTGTCTTGGCAGAACACGCAAAGACAATCCATCTCACATGGTCAAAACAATCAAAACGGTTGTTGAATGGACAGCAAGGGCACTGTTTGGTCTTGGTCTAGCTTGTGGAGTTCACACCGTTCTCGACGGAATTCTCGTCGTCCAAACGAGATCTTTTGCGTTTCACTCCCGAGCTTTGCTTGGGCTGCGGCACGCTTTGACCTTCTGATTCTGTGTTTCCATCGTCGGCATCGCTCAAATCCACTACGGGCGACAGCGCGCCGCCCGCCATGAGAAACTACGAAAGAAACATTGACGGTTGACTGTTGAGTTTCTGAATGACACCGATACATTAACACATTGGCAAAATAGTCCTAATAAAATCACTTGCTCCTATTTATTGAGGTCACGCACGCAAATTCTCCTCAGCGCGCGGGCTGTTTCGCGCAAGAAGCGGCGAACAAGAACCAGCGCCAACCGTCCCGGTTCAACGCCACCACCTCCGAACAAAAAAGGCCAAAGGTGCATTGATGTCTCCCTTGGTCGGCTTTAGTCGTTTTTCCACGGCCAAGTTAAACAAACAACTACAAGTGGTGTTTGGTGAACAAACTAGAACCTAAACGTTTGCAACCCGAAATCAGAGGGAAGGGCAACAATTAAGCTAGTGTTCCTGGCAGCATCCACTAATGAAATTTAGTGGAGTAGAAGCAGCATTGGTGTGTCTAAAAGTCATGGTCGCGCGATGTGACAAAGCAGAATTGGTGCGTCTAAAAGTCATGATGTCGCACGACATGACAGAGCAGCATGGGGCGCCTAAAGTCACAATGTCAAAGTCAAGCACAGCACAAGCTGGGAACCCCATTCATTTTGGGAACCCCATTCAAAAGAAAACTCCTTACTGAAGGATTTCATCAGTTCCTTCAAGAGCATGACATTCGTCTCCGAATGATTGCGCCTGAAGCCCACTGGCAGAACGCAAGAGTCGAACGCCATGGGGGGATCCTTCAAGCAATTTTAGACAAAATGGACAAAGAGAAAGCCATTAGCGCGACAGAAGAATTCGAAACCGCCTTGTCTTTTGCCACACAGATCAAAAATAAACGGTCTCGACATAAGGGTTATCCACCAGAGATGTTAGTCTTTGGAAAGATGAGCAAAACACCTGGGTCAGTCACTAGTGACATGTCCAATGCCTCGCGTGATTTGGCCCTTCAGAATACATCCGACGGCTTCAAATTTCGTGCCAAGCTGGCCATCTTGAAAGTGCTCGGAAGGCATTCTGCGAAGTGGATAATTCACAGTCACTTCGGAGAGCAGAACACCAGCGGACTCGCCCAATGCGGACGGTATACCACCCAGGTGATTGGATCATGGTGTGGAGGAAAGACAACAATTGGTTTGGACCGTTGAAGATCATACTCCAAGAGGACAAGAATGTCATTTGGGCTGTACTAGGCAATAGACTATTTCGAGTGGCCCCCGAACATGCCAGACCTCTGTCCGCAGTTGAGGAAGTCCAGCATTGGAAACAAAACGATCACCAAGACACGCAAGTGACTTTAGGCAACATTCGATCCGGAAACGCCAGATATGCTGATTTGTCCAACCCCGAAGTGGCAATACCACCTCCTGTCGCTCCAACTTCGAATCAGGAAGGAAGCATAGAACAACCAGACCAGGAACCAGGAGTCCCAAATCGGTTCGATGTGTCACAAACAAATTCCGAACAAGAATGCACCCCAACGATTCCGGATACACCTGAACTTGAAAGTGCTCAACCTGCACCCGAGAATATCCCCATACCGGATGATGGAGATGAGGATTTGTTCTGTGAGGCATTCAAATGTGATAGCGAAGGGCAGGCCTGGAGGTTAGAAGTGGACATTGACTTGAGGGATATACAAATGTGGAGACAAGATCCCCAACCAGCAGAACTAGCCTTCCTAGTATCCGCCTCGAAAAGACTGAAAACGGAAGTGAAGCTTTCCAATCTACCCATGCCGAAAGAAAATTGTTAGATGAACCAAAGCCAAAGAAATCCAGAGCTGGCTGGACACTCAAACAGTCTGTCGTATCTTGCGTCACAAGATCCCACAACAGAACATTTTAAAGTGCCGGTGGATTTTGACCTGGAAGAACGCAGACGACAATACACATCTTAGCGCTGATAGCAAGAACGTGACCGGAAAGCAAAGGCACGCTTAGTCATCTTAGGATACCAGGACCCAGAATTGAGCAATCTTGAACGGGACAGTCCCACGTTGTCCAAAGTGTCCAGAAATCTGTTATTGCAGATGTGCGTGTCCAATCGCTGGGAGATCGGAAGTTTTGACATCAAAACGGCATTCTTGAGGGGCCGCGCCGACTCTCGAATGCTTGGACTAGAGCTGCCTGAAGAACTTCGAACTTCGTGCCAAGCTTGGCCTTCGACCGAATGAGGTGTGCCAACTGCTTAAAGGAGCATATGGGTTTGTCAATGCCCCACTTTTGTGGTTCCGTGAACTGTCAAAGGCATTAATTAACCTCGGATTCCAGCCAGCACCCTTCGACCCATGCAGCTTCATTCTGTTCGATGAAAACAACAAGACAAGAGGGTTCATCGGTGTCCATGTCGATGATGGTCTCTTTGTTGGGGATTCAGTGTTCCATGCAAAAATCAATGAACTGGAAAACCTCTTTCCGTTTGGAAGCCGCAAGAGACGCAATTTTGTTTTCACTGGTCTTCAAATCAACCAATATGAAGATTACTCAATCCATGTTGACCAGACCCAATATGTGAAGGACATCAATCCAATAAATATCCACAAAGATCGAAGGAAAATGCTTGAAGAACCGATCAACGACCAAGAACGCCAAGACCTTCGAGGATTGATAGGAAGCCTGCAATATGCATCAGTGAACACACGACCCGACCTTGGCAGTAGACTCAGCTTCCTACAAGGAAAAGTCAATAACGGGCAGGTTCAAGATCTCATCGAAGGGAACAGGTTACTTCGTGATTCATGATGGCATTTTCAGATGCATCCTTTGCATCAGAAAAAGTTCAATCATCCCACCAAGGTCTTATGATTATGGCAGCACACCAGGACATTGGGAAGAACAAGAGAAGTGTCGTAAATCCCCTCATCTGGTCATCCAAGAAAATTCAAAAGGTGGCAGTAAGCACCTTGTCGGCTGAAGCCATGGCCTTGGCCGGGGCAATGGATATCCTTGCCTGGTGTCGACTGTACTGGGGATGGCTGAAAGACCAAAGCTGCCAATGGAGGTTAGGTGACAAAACATTGTCAACACTCCCTCCAGCATTTTCCGCTTTCAAAGATGAACCAGACCTTGTCGATCCCAACCAGTCGCTAAGTGAAAATCTGATAAAGCTCCAGGAAATTGGAAAACAAGATTCACTAGTAGCCACCGATTGCAAAAGTCTTTTTGATCTCGTCAGTCGCACGGCTCCCCCAGCATGTCAGGAGTTCAGGACCCTTCTCCAAGCCCGACTGATTAAAGAACACCTGGCCACACGTGTAGTTGCGCAGGTGTAGTTGCACGATGGGTTCCTTCGAGCGCTCAAGTGGCTGATTGTTTGACTAAAATCATGGATACCACCACTCATGCACATAGGCCGGTATTTGCTCAAGGACGAGGAGGAGATTCTTCGTCGTAGATCAGACAAGAAAGTCAGACTCAAGTGGATTCGCAGCCATGAATCAGCAGTCACGCCAGAGCATGAATGAGGGAAAAGCCACGACGTCCCCATTCAGCGATGAGCGAATTTCGCATCCACCCAGGAAATTCAAGATACTGCAGGTTTTGTTTGTCGCTTTGCTCCACAGGCCAACGAGGTTTGGCTAAATCTTGTGCAATCGTGTTTGGGAAGATAACTGGATTGGACCACAAGAGCATTGCAAAGCTTGGGAAATTTATTCAACTGAATAAATCTTTTGTCAAGGGGAAGAACTGCAGCAATGTCAACATGCTCAACAAAATTTAAATACAGGGAATGTCAATTTTGGCCTTGCTGCATGTCACATGTTGACCGAGAAACATCGTTCGCCATTCGCCACATGCTCAAGGGTGGGTGGGTGGCTGATTGATCGTACGAGCCATAGACAGCTGGAGCACTCAGGGTGGTGAAAAGGAGCGGCTGTCTCTCGAGGTGGGCTACGGAGGACGTGAAGCAGGGCTTCAAACTAGTTTGGTGCAGGAGCACCCTTTCTCATTGGTTGGACAGGGATTCAACAGGGGAATTCATTTCTTTTGCGTGTTGAGCGTGAGTCCAACCACCGGCTGTCTCCCTACCAAGTCGAAGCCGGTGTGGTTTCGATATATATATATATATATTATATATATTAATATGTATATATATTGTTTTTAAAAATATATAGATATCTAATCTCCGGCCTCCGAAAAGAGAGCGTTTCCCAGACTTGGCAGAGTGTCGCAGGTCCCTGGTGAGCCTCCGGACAGCGGCGCTGGACGAATAAGACACGCAAGTGGAATCCACTGGAGGGCACATGCCGGAGCAGGGCCAGGAAGTGGAACCCATTGCCTGTCAACTGCGTTTGAGGATGACTTGAAGGGGTTTTCCTGCAATTGTGTTTTGAAAACATACCAGCAGAACGAATCGCTCCCACAGATGTAGCCACTGGTACTGCGGTAGCCATTGGGGCAGGTAAGAGGGCCTCTGGATTTCAAAACGAAACCAGCGCTGCTCTTCTTTCGGAGATGCCGAAGATACGATGTCGCGACCACATCTCTTGCTGAAAAGTTCACTGCAATTCGCTACCAAAATGTACGTACTCTGATTGCAGCTTAATCTATCGCATGCAAGAACCAGTAGAAACATTGTCATAATATGTCATAATGGGATAGGCTCTACTGTATCTCCAGAAAAAGGCGACATGGCAAAGCGTGTCCGCGAACCATCGTGCGCCGGTGCACTGGTACGCTGGCACTTACCATGGCGGCTGTGATCGTGCTGGTTATGCTGGTTGCGGGTTATGCTATCTGGGTGATGCTGGCTGCGCTGGTTACACCGGCTCCGCTGATTATGCTGGTTAGGCTGGTGCTCGGTGTAACCGGTGTAACCGATGTAGCCGGCGTCGGTGTAACCGGCATAAAGTCAGTGTGGCCGGTGTAATCCGTGTAACCAGTGTCGTGTAACTAACCGGTGTGCAGCAAAATTGTGGACAATGATTCCACCAGCAATGCACAAAGAAACATGTTTAAACAATTTAAACTAGACGACGGATGGCCCGAGAGCGTTCAGGTGTAGGAGAGAGAGAGAGAGAGATGTGCAGATGTGAAGATGTGCATGTCTGGATATGTGTGGATGTGAGTTGTGATTATATGCATGCGATGCACCTGTTCTTTTCTGGAAGAACCCTTCGCTCACCTGGGAAAGATGTTCTGCCTGCTTCTCGGCAGTATATATTATACAAGCATTTAGCATGCATCTATTGTACCATAGGGACGGTTTGCAACACTCAAGACATCTCAAGACCATCCACGCTAGATGGGTTTCATGTTTTCCACTGTTTCCCCTGGCACGCGTCCAAGCTCCAACTTGGCAACATCCTTCAGCTCATTTCAGCTCCCAGCATGTGGACCCAATGGCCCTCTCAAGGCAGAAAGTGGACTCTCCTGAAGACGTCAACGAATTCAGATCTGGAAGCATCTGGAAAATATCAGAGACAGACATGCCATGTGAGTCACGTCAAAAAAAAACTTTGTGGCAGTTGAACATCGCTAGTAGGTTGGAGGCCATCGCTCTTTGTTCCCTCATGTTGAGGGGCACATCCGACTTGCCTTGTATTGGTGCCGGGGAATTCTCTGGGCATAGCTGCTCTGCGCACTTCACCTGCAGGTCTTTTTCCCACATCTCAAGTTGGACTCCCGAGCAATTGTCTCCGTGTCTTCCTCAACGTCCGACAGTGTCGAATCCGCGGCGGGCCTCGCTGGTTCCAGGTGCAGGGACTGGCCTGCTCAACGTTTGGACATGGTTGGATTCAGCATGATTCTGCCATGTCACTGAAAAGCCAACTATCAAACATGTCTGGCATGTTCTAGAATTGCTGGGCTGGTGTGAGGTTCTTTTATATGCGAAAAGAGTAAGCAGGCTCTCGGTAACATCGAAATATGGTTCGACGCCTCCATAAACCAGAATCTCCACACTGAAAGTGTCCAGATAGGACGCTCCCAAGAGGACATTGGACATCCTGCCACAGAAAAATTGGCATGTGAAATGGAATATCGGCATGTGAAATGGAATCTGCACCAACTGAATCGCGGACTGAACAGTTGTCGCCAGCGATCGCAGTGACCTTGGGGAACTGCCAAGCACTACAATAGGTCATATCACAGGACAAAGGAAACCTCTTCAAGCAATCATACAACACCTTCCTTCTGCTTAACCAACAAGTAACAAGCATCAATAAACTACCTCAACCATGATCAACCATCACATGAACCGCCATTCAGGCGCCGGGGTTCACCCTCCTACTACTCTGCCCTTCTCTGAGACTTCCACGCACAACCTCCCAGAGGCCACAGCTGCCTGGTCGGAGCCCGGCACCGAGGGCAAGGGCAAGCTGCAGGTGACGCGTTCGCACGAGGGCCTAAGTGCCACACCAGTACTATTGAGGCCATCGCTATCTATATATTAGGTTGGAGGCCATCGCTAGTAGTTGGCCAAACGGGACCCGACACTATGACGACCGTTCGATGATGACCTGTCCACTGGCTAGGTTTGAGTGCCAGGCAGCGGTGCAAGCGGTGCAGTTGGGTCGGACCTTACGAAATGAATCGTGACATGTCCCGACGCTACTAGGGGCTCCTGGCCTTACTAGGAACAATGTTTGCTATTAGAAACAATAAATACATAGAATTAAAATAAAATTACTGTAAGTCTAATTAGAATCAGAATTGAAACAAAAAACTAACTAGGATCTTTTCGCAAGTGTCATGTCACATCCATGGCTTCCTTACTCGATCTTCCTCGCAATTTACGAGTACAGTGTGTATCTACTGTCGGTATCGTTTCTCCAATTGAGATGGTAAATTTGAGGTCGCTGCGGCAAATATTGCTGCCAGCCAAGCTGCCCACAAAACAGATCAGCACTGGGTCCTCAGCTTACCGGCGGGAAGGTTAAGAAAAAGGCTGGATTCGGCTGAGCTGGAGAACTAAAGCCCGCAGAGCAAGACAAAGGGCAAACCTTCGCAAAGCGGCTCCGCCGACAGGTACGCCGACGGCTTTGTGGAGGCAAAAAGAACGGCCCACCTTCTTGTACTGCATACCAACACATCGCACAAGTGCTTCTGGCACTGCATGCTCGATGAAACCTTGGAGACTTCCGAAGGCGCCGAAGCGAAGCGGCTTTCGTGCCAACCTTGGCAAGATCAAAACTGCCCAGCCCCGAGGCTCCAGCCCACTTCCCCACATTCTCGCCCACAACCTCATATCGTCTGTCAGCCAAGACCTTTGCCTCGTACAATTCCCTACTCTCTCAGCCAAAGCCTTCTGCGGGCCTAGTAGCAAGAAGCTACTGGGTGGAGGCCATCGCTAGTTACTAAACAAGAACGACGCATATTAAAAGATTCATCTGGAAAAAGCGGACGCGTTGAAGCCCGGAGTCGAGGAGTCGAGGAGACGGGGCGACGTTGAGGAGCGAACTGAAGACTGGTGGCGAAAGCACTCCTTGAAAGCACTGCAGCTGGATCTCGTTGGGCCTCGTTGCCGGAGCTGATCGCTGCTTGAGATGTCTTTGTCATCCTTTTAGAGTCCGTGGCCCTGCCTCCTTACTTAATTAAGCAAGCGCCTCCTTAATTAAGCAAGGGTGAAAAGCAAATGCCCCCCTTTTGGCGCTCTCGGTTCGAGCCTGGTTCAAGCGAGGTGACACGTGTGCAACCAGTCATGTGCTATCATGTTCAAGGGTCATCGGAATGCCACTAAATCCTATCACCCCCCCGGATGGCTGGACGCACACATCTACTGCATGGACGTAGAACTCGTGTCGATCGTCCTTGCAGATTGCTGCAGGCGTGGTGGTGATAGCATTGCCCTGCTGTTGTCATCGTCCACTCCTGTCTCTCCAGCATGAAACTTGTATGTTCCAACTGATCTCGCGCAACCTGACATGCAGCGATGGCTTCCTGCTTCAACTCCTTGTGGCTTGCTTCCCATAGTGCTATGGCCTCCTTGGCCTGCTTCAAATCCTCATTCAACCTTTCAATCTCCAAGTCTTTCTCACTCGGATTCACGGCCATTCGTTCCTTCTCTCTCAACACTTGGATGTAGTTCTCCCTCAACTCATCTCGTTCACTGTTCCAGGCACTGTTGCATCCACATGTCTCTCTCTTCTTTGATCTCTTTCATCCTTTCACGTCGCTCTTCACAGCTTGCCTCAAGCTGTATGATCTTCCATTGCATTTCAAGCATTTCAACTTTCGCCGGATCGGCCTCATACTCAATCTCTGATGGCTGTGTCGTTGTTGCTCCTGCCTTCCTTTGCTTGCGCTGCATCAACTGTCGTACTTTGTTCCATACCCACCGAGCCAAGCTCAAGGCTCCGACAGCTGACAATGTGCAACTGTAAAGAGCAACCTTGTCCACCACAACTCATCACTGTCCTCTGCACTGATTGCTGTCCTTGTACTGTTGCTGTTGCTATCTGTTGTATTGATCTCCCTTGTCACATGCCCTTGGCTTGTTTGCAGTAGAGCCATCGCGATGATCAGGGCGCTCTTGCATTTCCTCCTAAGGCTTTTGACAGAACTTGAGACCTTTCATCCTGGCCTTGCTGAGGATCTTCGCCCCGATGTCACTTGTATTGACTGAAGTGGGAACTCCAGTCACCCTCAACTCCTTTTCGCCGACTTTCTGCTGGAGCCATAGGAGTCCTGCTGCAATGTGCCTTGTCCTCCCCACGCCAACTCTTCCAGCGAGGGATCTGGCTGCTGATGAAGAACTGCGGCAAACCATGTCAATGTCTTCTTCTGTAAGAAACTGCCAACAGTGTTTGAGAAACAAACCTTCACTGCAGCCCCCCACCATTGCAACATACTCACTTTCTCCTGAGGACAATGCGATGGACCGCTGACAACGTACATAGCTCTCCATGAGGCTACCGTTCAAATACAGCTGCACTGAACTCACTGAACGGCGGGTGTCTCGTTGTCCAGCAGCATCACACATCACTTCCAGCAAATGATTGCTGTCATCCACACTCCATTCATAGATGTCCTCGTTGGTGTTGAGCACGCTCTTTCCTCTTTGCCCATGCTCCAACAGCAAGCCTTCGTCCATAGTTCCCAGAAGGTAGGAACTCACATGTTGCATAGCTTGCCATCCTTTCTTGGTGGGTCTCTGCATCAATGAAGCCAGCCCTTGAGCCACAAATTGTATGTCCGGCCTGTCTGGTGCAATCTATAGGAGTTTTCCCACTGCGCTTCTGTACAACGTCACCTGTGCTGCAGGCATAGCCTCGTCATCTTTCTTCAGCTTCGTGAAGTTACCATCGCCTGGTGTCGATCTGGGCTTCCTGTTCAACACATTTGTGACTTTGGCCAACTCTTTGATGTGCTCTTGGTCTGGCCTGATGGCGATGCCCTTGTCCACGATCTCCATGCTCCTCTTCAGGTAGTGGAATGGACCTGCATACCATGGCCCCCTCTTCTCTACCTTCCACAACTTGGCTTCCATGAACTTGATGAATCGCTCAACCTCCTCTTCAACTCCAACAATCAGCAAATCATCGACGTGGATGGTCAGGTAGAGATTTCGCTTGTTCACTCTTCTTAGATGACCTCATCGTCGTTGGTTGCATTACATCCTGCTCCAAACCAAACTCTTTGGCCACCTGACAAAATCCTTTGAACCACTGGGCAGCTGCATTCCGCTGGCCTGGCAGATTCTTCTTCAACCTGTACTTGCCATTCTCTGTGATGATCATGGCTTTCTCGTCTGCCGGCTGGTCCATCAACAAGAACGCATCTTTGACATCTAATGTGTACAAGGCATACCCAGTGATCATCTGAAGGTGCAACAGCATACGGACGACCACTGACGCTGAGGTTGGTGCAAAAGCATCTTCTGTAAACACTGACCACTTGAACTGGTGGCCTACCAGTCGGGCTCGCCTGAACCAACCTCCTTGTTCATCTCGATGCTTCCAGGTCACCACCATCTTTGAAGTCAAGACATAGGAACCTTCCTCCTCTGTCTCTTCCTCCTTCATCTTTTGCAGCACTCCCATCTTCTCAAGGCGCTCTTCTTCGATCTTGCATGCCTCAGTGTCCAACACCTTCAATTCCTCAATTCTCCTCATCTTCACTGATGTCGTTGACAACCCTGCAAGATCTTCTCAGCTTCCAGTTCATCTCCTCCTGGAAACATCTCCTGAACGCTCTTGATCCGCTTCTTAGGGCTTGCAGCTTCATCATCCTTCTCCCACGGCATGGCAAAGAGCTCACGCTTCATGCTTCCCTTCAGGAATGGCATTTCTGGCATCTTTGAATCGGGCTCTGCAATCCTCTGTCTCTTTGGACTCTCCTGTGGATCCTCGGTCATGAAGTTCTTTGCTGGTTCTCCTTGCATAGCCTTAGGTATTGGCAGTCTCGCTGGCCTCTTGTACTCTCCACTGGCCATCGATGCAGACGTGGTTCTCGCCTGTTCATCTGCCACCTCACCAGCGCTTTCAGGCTTCTTCGCAACCTTTGGTAATGGAGTCCTCGGCACTGGTGTCTTCAACCCCGGTGTGAATAGTGCCGGTGTCATTCCAGGTGTTCGTGCTGTCTGAGGTAGCGCAGGGGTTTGATCTCCACCTCCACGGCCATGAAGCCCCAAGGCGACTTGCTCACCAATCTGCCTTGCCTCATCTTCAACCTTCTCATCACCTGCTGCATCTTCTTCAGGCGCTGCCAGCCTCTGCCTTGCTTCAAATCGTGCCCTCATTAAGATGCCTTGCACTGAGGACTGCCATGGAAGTCCTTTGCATGCTACCAGCATTTGTCCATCGAATTGTTCAGGCAATGATCGACTGGACCTGGCTTCGACAGCTCCTGCTCTTGTCAAACAGATGTGACTGTCGCTCCATGCACTCTTTCCAACCCAAACTCCTTTCTTGTAGACTGGCTCTCCTTTATGCTTCAATGAAGCCACGTCCTTGAACAGGACAACTTCTCCCCACAACACCACCTTTCCAGCATACTTTCTGTCAGTCATCATCTCGTAGGAGGTGGCACCACTGATCACTCTGTATCTTGTCAACAGCCAAGCAGCATGTCGAAAGGACCATGGATACACATGCATCACTCCAGTCAGCTTGACTCCAGCCTTCTCCTCAGCGAATGCTCTCAAGGTGTTTGCTAGCTTTCGCACTGATTGGACTGTTCTTTCAGCTTGTCAATTTGACTGATGTTGATCACGGCTGGTGGTCCTGATCTCTGAGCTCAACCCTAGTGACGCACGGGCATGTTGAATGGCTCTCAGTATCTGTCGAGTCGATCGCTCACCGTCAGCTTGAAAGATCATAGGCTGTCCTCCACCGACTTGCATGCTGAACCTGGTGATCTCCTCGGTAACCTGTTTCAATGAGACACTTCCTTTGGCAGCTACTGGGATGCAAACGACTGCCTTCGTCTCAGGCTCGGCAACATACAATGCCGTACCCAGCTGCTTCTCCTCTTCAATACCTCGGGTGTACGTGTACCCAAAGTCGAAGCTGATGATGCTCCTCCCACGGTCTTTGACTTCATTCCTGTCTGCTTCGGTTCGGGCATCTTCTTTTGCACGGGTTGCAATGCAAGTCTGACACCATGCCTGATAGGGGATGTGGGTAAGTTGATGCATCTCCTGTTCATGTCTTGATGGAAGCTTTGGAGTTGGAACGGGCACTGCTTCACGGCGGGCTTCTGAATATAGCCTCTGTGCCACTTCAAATGCCACTCTCTCTTCTTGCTTGTACTTGTACTGCTGTAGGCGACGCAGAACTCTCATCTTCGATCCTGAAGTGGGTAATCCCAGTTTCTGGCATGCGCTTTGCAGCTCCTTCAACTTGTTGTCCT